TGTGTGTGTGGTTCTGTGTGTGCATGTGTCTGTGTGTGGTTCTGTGTGTGCATGTGTCTGAGTGTGGTTCTGTGTGTGCATGTGTCTGAGTGTGGTTCTGTGTGTGCATGTGTCTGTGTGTGGTTCTGTGTGTGCATGTGTCTGTGTGTGGTTCTGTGTCTGTGTGTGGTTCTGTGTGTGCATGTGTCTGTGTGTTGTTTTGTGTGTGCATGTGTCTGTGTGTGCATGTGTCTGTGTGTGGTTCTGTGTGTGCATGTGTCTGTGTGTGCATGTGTCTGTGTGTGGTTCTGTGTGCGCATGTGTCTGTGTGTGGTTCTGTGTGTGTGTGTGGTTCTGTGTGTGCATGTGTCTGTGTGTGGTTCTGTGTGTGCATGTGTCTGAGTGTGGTTCTGTGTGTGCATGTGTCTGAGTGTGGTTCTGTGTGTGCATGTGTCTGTGTGTGGTTCTGTGTGTGCATGTGTCTGTGTGTGGTTCTGTGTCTGTGTGTGGTTCTGTGTGTGCATGTGTCTGTGTGTGGTTCTGTGCGTGTGAGTGCAGGTGCCCAGTGGAGACAGAGGCACTGAATCCCTTGGAACTGAAGTTCCTTGGCTTTGAGCCACCATGCTGTGGGTGTTGGGAACTGAACTCAACTTCTGAGCCTACTCTCTGAGGCTCTCTTAACTGACAGCTCAGAAAGCAGGCCTGGGAACAGGCTTGGTTGCTCCTGCCTGTAATCCTAGAAGGAAGCTGGAGGATTACTTTCAGTTTTGAGGTTAGCTTGATCTACATATGAGTTTCAGACCAGCTAAGCTCCTGTCTCAAAAAAGAAAAGGAAGAGGTGAGGTGTAGAAGAAGGAAGAAAGGAAGGATAAAAAGAAGGAAGGAGCTCCAAAGCTACAGCTATTGCTTGACTGATGAAGTTGTTCTAAAGCTGCTCCTTCTTTAACTATCGCCATAGCCCATAAGCTCTCCTGGCCCCCGTTCTCGGTCTGTGCCCTCTCTGACCCTCTCCTCTTCTGGTAATGCTGATCTCCTCTGGGTGCCATCATAACCCTCTCTCTAGGAGAGCCCTCCTCTCCTTAAGGATAGTGACCCTGAAGATCTGAGAGAGCAACCAAAATGTCACCTCCAGCCCTAGGTTCCTCATCTGATCTCCAGATAGCCTCACCTGCTCCCGCCATTCCTCTGTGGCCATTCAACCACATTGCCAAAAAGATCACTGGCGTGGACTCAAACTTGTTGCAGCTCTGCTGTCTCTCTCACGTTGTCAGGCCAGCTCCCCTGACCCCAAGCTCTGTCCCTTCCTACCGGCTTTCCAACCTTCCAGTCTCACTCCCCGGTCACTGGAGGGAGGCTTCTCTCTCACACACTTGGGACAGCTTCTCCTCTGTTCACAGTTGTTGCACAATTTGCCACCATTCTCAGGAGAAAACTAGCTTTGGCAATAGAGGCCCTGGCTCCCTTCTGCCTCTCTGTCATAATTTCCCACTGCCACCACATTCTACAGTCTAGACAGAAATCAACCCCTTTCATATCCTTTCAATGTCTGCATCTTTGGGCACCTCTGCCTGGATCGCATAATTCCTGTGCTCATGAATGTTTGTAATCCTAATTCTTCAGAGTCTGTAGCAGGAGAATTGCTGTGAATTCAAGGACTGCCTGGGCAGTTAGTGAGACATTGTCTCCAAAGGTACAAGGGAGTTGGGCATGTAACTTGGTGGTCCTTCTTCTATGTTAAACCTAAAGAATAGTTGCTAAATATCATCTCTGGTTTAAAAAAAAATAAAAGATAGGCCTGGGTTTAGTTTTCGTCCCACATCCTCAGGCTGTGGCTGTTGTCTGGCCCACGTCAAATGCTAGTGGTTACAGCCTTTTGTGATGCATATCAGTGGTCTCAGAGTTGGCTCACAGAGAGAAAAGGAAATACCTAGTAAAAATGGGGGCCACTTGGGGATGAAAAGAGAAAGAAAAAATGGGAGAAAGAGCCGGGCGATGGTGGCGGATGCCTTTAATCCCAGCACTCGGGAGGCAGAGGCAGGCGGATCTCTGTGAGTTTGAGACCAGCCTAGTCTGCAGAGCTAGTTCCAGGACAAGCTCCAAAGCCACAGAGAAACCCTGTCTCGAAAAACCAAAAAAAATAAAAATAAATATAAATAAATAAATAAATAAAATGGGAGAAAGAAAAACAATTGAAGATGAGAGAGAAACACAGGAAAATTATGTCCACACAGGGCAGAATCCACTTCTGGTGTGCAGCTGATGGTTCTCCCTCTCCTGAGGGCTCTTCTCTTACCCACCCTAAGCATGGTTGACTTACGTGCTGGGGAAAGAACTCGGACCTCATTCATGCTCAGCAAATCTCTTCCACTGAGCCACAATCCCTGCCCATGTTTTAGTTTTTGCCTTGAGGCAGGATCTCAGGAAGTCACCCAGGCCAGCCTTGAACTCTCTGGGTAGCCCAAACAGGCTTGGAAGTTGTGACGCCCTTGCTCCAGCCTCCACAGCAACTGGGAGATAGGCCTGGCTTGGCCAATTTCTTGACTGAATTGATCTTGGAACAATTAGATCTCCGTATGTTTTTATTGAATGTGTGAAGAAAGCAATGAAGGGTAAGGCAAGGTGGGAGGGACAGAGCCAGAGTCCTGCATTTTCTCTGTGGCTCCTGTGAGGACCAGGCTCCAGGTATCCTGCTGACCCTGCTGGCTTGCCTTCTGTTCATAAGGTTTCGTACCCAGCCCGGGGGGTTTTGCAGTGAGCACCCAGGCTCAGGCAGCCTGGTATGGAGACAGAGATGGGAGGAGAGATTGAGTATTTGAGTGCCCTGCACTGCCCCTCCCCACACCCTAGCAGGGTCCTCCCCGGGGAGGTGGGCTGAGTAGTCACCTGCACAGAGGAACAGGATAGAGGAGGCCCAGCCCAGGTAAAAGGACCATGAGAAGAATGTCTGGACCTGCGGAAATGGAGTCTGGCTCCATCTATTACTGGTGTACACCGCCATGGCCACTATTATGGAGAGAGCTGAAGACAAGAACAAGAAAGAGCTGGCTTGGCCACTGCAGGACCCACCAGCCCTGGCGTCCCAGTGCAGCCCAGATTCCATTCGTACCTGCAGCAAAAGCCATGACAGTTGACACCAGAGGGCCACGGCCTGGGAGGGATAGGGCTGGACTGTAAGACAAAATCAGGAAGCCCACGGACACCAGGCTCCACAGGGCAGCCAGGATACAGAAGCTCTGTGTCACATGGATATAACCTAATGCAGGATGAGACTTGTGGGTGTCTGCTCCCCACTGGCCATTCCCACCACCAGGGAGCCCACGGCACATTACCTGCTACCTGGATCTCATGTGTCCTCGGCCAGAGGCCGCTGTGGGAAGAGGAGCTGGGGCCTGTGGCCACTATCCAGAAGTCAGTGCTCAGAGCAATCAGAGAAGAAGTCAGGCCCAAGAGGCCAGCAAGTAGAGCCAGGGACCGGCAGGGCTCCATGGACACAGCTCTGGCTTTCTACTTCTTATGGGGTAAAGACACAGATAACCCAGACTGTCGGGTCTCAGAGAAAGGAGAAGGTCATGCACCCAGACTCCCTGGTCCTCCCAGCTGAAGAAGCAGCCAGCAGTCAGTCACTTTGGCTTCAGGCCTGGCATCTGACTCTTCTCACACCCTCCCTTCCTGCGCGGTTTCCCCTCCCCTCTTCTCCTCCTGCCTGGTGAGGGTGGGCCTGCTGATGTCTTCGCTCACTGGCTGCTCTGGGGGTGTCCACCTTCCGTGGTCTAGGTAGTGGTTTAGACTGTTGTCACGGGTTCTGTGCCTCCACAGTTGGAGACAACAGAGAGGGCTTCCTGGAAGACCTTAGGGAGGGCTTTGGGGGCCCAGAGGTGGGAAGTAGACTAGTCATACTAGGGTGTGAATTAACTCAAAGGGGAGATGTGGCTGAGGGGGCAGTTATTTCACATTTTCCTGTGGTTTTTACACTCTGCTCCTTGACTCTAGCGCTAGAGTTTCCAATAGTAGAAGATTAGCGGGGTCAAAATACCAGTTCCAAGGGAGGGAGGACTTGGTGGGAAGAGAGATTCCATGGTCCTAGTTAAAGCCTCTGTCCAGGACAGATTCCATAAAACTTAAGGACAGGAAGGTCTTCCCACATCCTCTTTTCACGATATAGTGAGAATTCACCCCACCTGGCTGGGCCCTCCAGCATGGGTGTCTTAACACCAAGATGAGGCTGTCTGGGGAGTAGCAATTCAGGGCTATTCTGCCTCTGTCTTCCAGTGGTCAACACCTTCTCTCCAGGGAAACACAGAGTGTGTCTGTCATCCCTTACTGTCTTCTCAGCACTCAAGAGATCTGAGGTAGGAGGATCACAAGTTTAAGGCCAGCCTTGGCTACCTGAGACTCTGTCCTTCCAAAAACATAAACTAAAATGGAGAGGGAGCAGAACCTCCCCCTTCCTTCCCTAGATGGTCCTGGCGGAGAGGGCGTCCAGGGAAGGAAGCAGAGGGAAGGCGCTGCCTGGAGCGGGTGGGGAGCAGGGAAGCTTTATTTCCTGAGATCAGATTGTTCATCCTGTTATCCCACACATCCATTTCTAGACATTAAACCATGGCCGTCTCCAGGGTAGGGACCCATTTATCTTGTTCCCATCCCTGCAGAACTGAGGAAGAGAGGACACCATGTCAGAATACCCCTGTCCCCCAACCACCACCCTAGCCCATTTCTCCAAACCAGCGCTGTGATGACTCCCACTTTGATAGTTTCACATCAGTTTTATTAGATCACAAAATTCCTCTCTAAAAGAGTTCCCATTTCTCTACCACCCTTTGGGCAAGGTAGGGGTTCATGTCTTCGCAACTCCTTCCTACCTGACCCACACAGGACAGAGGGATCAGGGACTCCCCTATCTAGAATCCAGGACTGAGCCCCCTCATTCCCTCAGGAGCCAAGACTTCCTCCAGCTCCTAGGTCCTCCCCTTCCTCTTCAGTGCCTTCATTGTAACTTCTATCTGCAAGGTTTGTCCCAGGTCTCAGCGTGGGGTGGACAGACGCCGGCACTCGTGCATCCGGTAGGCACACATGTAGAAAATGCCTGTGTGGACAGAATCCGTTGATACCCAAACCCTTTGGGTCTGCCTTTCCGTTTCAAGAGACTCTTAATTCATTTCCTCCCTCCCTAGGACCCAGAGTCTGCCATCAGATGTGTGTAGGGTGTCTTGTCACCTCACCCTCTGAGGTCGCTTGCCTTGCCCCAGACTTCCACCTTCCCATCACTCTGCCTCAGTACCTGCAAAGAAGGTCATGAGCAGGGCCACCCAGCCCAGGATGTAGGACCATGAAAAGCGCCAGTCCCCAAAGCGGCGGCCGAGGAAGCTGACAGTGACTCCAGCGTAAATGGCCAAGGCCAACAGGACGGAAAGAGCTGGGGAGAGAGCGTGGGGTGGCGTGAAGTTGGATAAGAGAATAGGAGATAAGGAGGAGGGGAGGTTGATGACGGTGGCAACAGTGGAAGGTGATATGGGGGATGGGATTGGGTGAGGACACGGCAGGGAAGCACAATAAAGCGTTGGACAGAACACTTGTCTCTGTGTTCTGGGAGGGGAAACAAACCCTTGCAATGTCCTGAGTTACAGAGTGTCTTACTCTAAAGAGCTCCTTGGATCACACTAGAGTTTCTGTGAACTAACAGGTGGCTCGGGGTGCCTACCAAATACCTGCCAGGGACTGGGGCTGTGGTGATTTGAATAAGAATGCCTCCCAGAGGCTCATATTTTTAAACATTTAGTCACCACGAAGTGGCACTAGTTGAAAGGATTAGAAGGATTGGAAGGAGGAAATGTATCACTGGGGGTGGCCTTTGAGGTTTCAGAAGTCCATGCGGAGCCCAGACTATCTCTCTCTTGACCTGTGGATCAGTATGTAGCTCTCAGGTATTCTCCAGCACTGTGAATTCTCCCTTCTATGAAGATAATACACCAAATCTCTGGAACTGTAAGCAAGCCCCAGTTAAGTGCTTCCATTTGTAATAGCTGCTGTGATCTTGGTGTCACTTCTCAGCAATGACTAAAACAGAAGGGTATGAGGATCCTGAGCCTGAGAGCGCTGCATCTGGGACAGCGGAAGCTGGAGGCTAAACGAAGTCCATCTGTGGTGGCTGGTCTTCAGTGTCTGCTCTGCTGGATCTAGGACCCCTAGGACACACACACACTCACACACACGTGCATTGTGTGAGTGTGTGTGTGTTTCCAGAGAAGAGGTTATTTACTTATTATTTGATGTATGTGTGTGTGCTATGGCACTTGAGAGAAGGTCAGAGGACACTTTGTAGGAGTCTGTTCTCTCTTTCCAGTGTGTAGATTCTGGGGACATAAACACCAGGCTTGAAAGCAAGTTTCTTTAGCTACTGAGTCATCTCACCAGCCCCTCCAAAGCATTTTAATTAAGTAGAATATACACCCTAAATGTGGACAACAGTATCTCATTGTTTTATTCTGTCTAGGATAAAAACTAGACAGAATAAAAAATAAGAAAGTGAAGTCTAGCACTGGCTGTTATCTCTCTGTTTCCTGATTGTGGGTGCAATACGACCAGCTGCCCCACGCTTCTGCCATCGTGACTTCTGTGTCATGATGGTCTGTGCCCTCCAACTGTGAGCTAAATAGACCTTCCTACCTTTCTGAAGTTGTTTCTGGTTAAATATTTGGTCATAGCATTGAGAAATGACACTAATGCACCCGTGTGATGAAATTCTGGTAGGATTCACTGTATATGTCTCTTCACCAGCTGGTCCTGGGCTGAATGTGTTTCAAGACTGTGACTGTAAGTGTGAATATTTTTTAAGTTCTATGGGGTGGCTAGTATTAGAATCCCTGCCTGGAATCCCCTAGTGAAGGGCTAAGCCGTGATTCAGTGGTGGAGTTGCCATGCCAATCATGCCCCAGTTGGGGGGCTGGGTATGGCTCAGTGGTAGAACCTCTGCCTAGAATTTTCCAGTGAGGGGCTAAGAGTGGTAGAGTGTCTTTCTAGTGTATGTAAGTTCCAGAGATTGTATTCCCATTACTAGGACAAAAGAAAGAAAGGAAAGAAGGGAGGGGAGGAGGTGATTGCCTCTAATTACAAAGTGGAGTTAAAAGCAAAGGAGAAAGGGAAGTTGGTAGAGTTGGGTCTAGGGGTGAGAGAGGGGATGGAGTAGGGGTGATGAGAAGTGGATGTTGGCATGGGGTTGAGGAGCTGGGAAATTTGGGTGGGGAAGGAAGGATAGGTTCACTCACTGGAGGCAAAAAACATGATGCCAGCGGAGAAGGGCCTGGAGAGGCGGGTGAAGGCAGGCTGCTGTGCGAAGGCTAGGACGCCCATGATGATGCCCGAGGTGGCACACAGGGCAGACAGGATCATGAAAGCCCGGGTGGCATTCCAGTATGCTGTGGAGACATCACAGTTACTCCGGGCCCCTGTTTCCTTCATGATCTGACTTGGCTCTTCCCTCCGTTGACCTAGCAGACTCATCCTCCAACGCCCCAGCTCTCGCGGCCTCTTCTGGGAACTGATCATGGCCACCATCCTCACTCTCTGCTTTCCATTCTAACTGTCTCTTCTGTTTCACCCCCCTCCAGCTCGACTTCTCCTGAAGACAGGGACTGGCTTGGTTCTTGATGTGCGCATCCCAGCATGGGTGTGGCTTACACATAGGCCTTGTGAAGTGTTTCTTGGGTGAATGTTTCCCCATACGCTCTTGACAATACTCTCCATCTCTCTGATCCTTTCCTTTTCATCCACTATACTTTGCTGCATCTGAAAAGTCCTGATCTTTTGACTGTATCTGTGGTGTCTGAAAAGACCAGGGCTGGCTCCTCCTCTCTCGGTTGTATACCCAGCCCCTGACACCTGTCTGGCACATGATAGACGTAGCAAGTTTTGAGACTGGGTCTCTCATAGCCCAATCTTCTTGTCCTTGAACTTAATGTAGCTAAAGTTGACCTTGAATTCCTGACTCTGCTGTCTCTACATTCCAAGTGCTGGAATTACACTTGAGATGCCACGCTTTCCTCTGTCCTGATATGGCTCCGCTTGGGTCTCCTGAGCTCTAGAACTGCAGATGTGCACCACTAACTGAACAGCCCCTGAGCATTCCTGGGAGATTGAAGGAGGCTGACCTATGAAAAGTTCTTGGGATAGGTTTAGCTTATTTTTGTTGTTTTCAGGATAACAGTCAATAATTATTAATTAAAATACTGTAGAAAATCTTGTGGAGTGTAGCTTGATGTATTTTGATGTAGTAGCTTATCATATACTGTATTGTATGATACACTAAACAAAACATTAAATATTATTAAATTCCCATGCTACATAGAGTATATTATGTAGACTACAGCATATTATTCATTAGTATTATATATTCATACCTAATATATACTATGTAATATATTTCTCCATGTCACGCTTCTTCCATCGTGTGTGTGTTGAGTACATGCCTGGCTGCTTATGTGGAAACATGTATGTATGTGCATATTGAGACCCAAGGTCGACCTTGGGTGTTGTTCCTCAGGAGCTGTCCACCTTGTTTTTTGAAATAAGGTCTCTCCCTGGCTCACCAAGTAGCTAACCTGGCTGGCCAGGGAACCTCAGGGATCTGCATCTCTCTCTGGTGTTTCAGAGTTAGAACTGTTTTTTGTTTGTTTGTTTGGGTGACAGGCAATCCTCTTACCTCAGCCTCCTGGTTCCAAAATTATAGATGCAAGTCACCATGTCTGGCCAGCTGGCCAGTCAGCCTGCCTGCTTGTCTGTTTGCCTGTCTGCTTACATACCTCTGGTTATTTGAATGAGAATAGATCCCATAGGCTTATGTTTTTGAATGTTTGGTCCCCAGTTGGTGGAACTGTTTGGGAATTAGGAGGTGAGGCCTTGTTGGAAGGAGGTTATGTCATTGGGGGTGGACTCTTGAGGTTTCTAAAGTCCATGCCAGGCCTGGTCTGTCTGTCTGTCTGTCTGTCTGTCTCTCCCCCTCTCTCCCCCTCTCTTTGCCTCCTGTTTGTGGATTAAGAGGTATCACTCAGCTGCAGCACTACCCCTGCCTGCCTGCCGCCATGCTCCCCATCATGATGGTCACGGACTCTAACACACTGCAACTGTAAGCCCCAATAAACTCTTTCTTCTATAAGCTTTTTTGGTCATGGTGTTTTGTCATGGCAATAGAAGAGTAACTAAGAGACTTCCTACTTATCCATCTATCCATCCAGCCATCCTATCTGTCATCTAGCTTGTCCTATCCTTCCTATCAGTCTATCCATCTATCTATTCTATCCATGATCTCTACATTATTTATACACTTATCCATCCTGCCCATCATATTTCTATCTTATCTATCCATGCATCCATTGTATCTCTATCTTATTATCCATACATCCACATCCATTCTATCATCCTTCCTATCTATCTATCTATCTATCTATCTATCATCTATCTACCATCTATCTATTCTTTTCGTTTGTCTTTTTATCTATCTATTCTTCATTCACCCATCTAACCATCATCTTTCTATTATATATATCAGTCAATCAATCAATCAATATCAGTCAGTCAATCACCTATTCATCTATTCATGTATCCATCCATCCATAAGTACATGACCTGGTACACAGTAGAAGGATAGCAAAAGGTCTTCCATCTGGCATGCAGTCCATCAACAGTCTCCGTGGTCCCTGTCCCTAACACTGTTTATTGGCTCATAGCACTTGTTTGTTTGTTGTATTTTGAGACAGGGTCAAACTATGTAGCCTAAAACTTACAATCCTCCTGTTGCCACATCCCAAATGCCGAGATTACAGGCACATGCTATCACACCCAGCTCATCACAGATATTTATAAAATATTGTTCTGGCAACCCCAGCCTCTTTGCTGCATCTGACACCGTTTTGTGCGGGGAAACGCCACCCCGTTAACCTAACTACAAAACCTTACACCCTGTCCCTGAACTAGAAAACAATCCATAGATCACAAGTCTGTTCCACCCCCTGTTGAGCATCGTAGTCCAGTGCCTCTGCCTCTCTGAGCCACCATGCTTTCTCTTAGAATGCTGGGGTGATGGCCGTAGGGCTGTGCTCTGGGCAAGGCTAGACCTCAGTACCACTCAAACCCTGGCCTCAAGGCTCACCAATGCTCTCCGTCTGTAGGAAGCACTTGCTGCCCAGGCAGTAACGCCACAGGCCCTGGTGTGCGAAGGACCCTGACAGCCGGTACTGCATCCAGTGGTCCGTTGCTGTGGCTACCACCAACAGGATGGTCCCCACCCAGGCACAGAAGAGGCCGCCACCCATGAAGCTGTACATGGCGATCTGTGGAGAGGGGAGGGTGGTTTGTGAGTGAGTATCCTAGACCCCCCTGGGTTTGAGAAGAAGGCTGGAGAATGGGCTTAAGGGGCTAAAGGGGAAGAGTAGACTCCTGGGTCTGAGGGAAGAGGGTGGAGAATCTGGATTCTTCATTCCTGACAGGAAGATGTCTAACAACCTCAATTCAAAGCTCTTGGAGAGAAGGGTCTGGGAGCCTAGATTTTTCAGGTAGGGGGCTTCAGGTCTCACGCTGGTGCCTACCTGAGTGGCGGAGACTGTTCTGAGCCCTCCTTCTGCCGAAGCCCCTCTGTGGAGACTGAGCTGAGCCAGGTTGCTGGCATCTCTGCCTCATGGCTCCCCCAAATCCCTTAAGCCTCCGTACACAATGGCTGCATAGCCCAGCAGCTTCCAGCAGGCAGAAACACAGTGGCAGCAGAACCCTCAATGGAATTTGCTGAAACAGGGGACAAGGGGGCCCCATCAGCCTCTGTCTGTGATCCTACCCATCTCCCTAGTCCCCACCACGGGTAGCCTGAGCTTCGCAGGAAGCATGGTCCACACAAAAGAGACAGAGCAGCCATCCTTTTATTGTTCAACCAATCTGGGCTTCCCAGCCCGGGAGACAGGGAACAGCAATGACAGGGGTAGATAAAGGTGTCTGGACATGTCAGGCCAAGGGATTCTTTGTGGGGTAGGATCAGGGGCTTGTCAGAGCTTGGTTGGGACATGGCAGATGTCGGGACTGGGGCTGGGGCTTGGTGTGACATGAAGGTGAGTGTGAGGTGTGAGATGAGGACCAGGAAGAGGAGAATGAGGTCAGTCTCCTGGTCCACAGCAATCTCAGCACTCAGCCGACTGAGAGAGGAAGATTGGTGAGACAGGTTTTAAAACAAAGCAAAATGAGTTGGGAATGATGGGAGACCTTATGGCCGAGAACTTTCATCCCAGATACTTGGAAGCCTGAGACAGGAGGGTCGCAAGTTCAAGGCCAGCTTGGACACTTGGCGAGACCCTATCTCAAGATAAAAATAAAGGATGGTTGCAGTTTAGTTCCGTGTTTGGCTGGCATTCAGGAGACTAGTACTGAAAAACAAAACAGCAAATAAACAAATTAGGAATGAACGTGGATTAGAACTGAAGGCCGAGAGAAGAGTGTGGAGGATGGGGTTGACTTTGGAATGGAGAAAGAAAGGGACTGGGGTAATGATTTGGTCTGGAAATGGGGTTGGAGCAGCCTTGGGGGCATTGAGAATAAGCCGGGATAGTAGCTGGGCTTGGGATACTGTGAATCTGGGCAGGGGAGTTTTCTTATCTGGAATGTAAGTCGGGTTTAGGCTTTACAAGGTGATCTGTAGAAGACCTTCAGAGGCTGTAGTATGGGGGCTGGGAAGGCTGTAGAGATGATATTTCTTAGCAATACCTCTGAAGGATTAAAAACTCTGTGAGCTCTTGGAAGGAACCCTTGGGTGGCCAAGTGCCAGATGCTCTTTGGGGTCCTAGTAATCTGTCTCCCAGTCTTCAGACAAAGGCGCTGGCGGTGGGGACGGTTCCAGGGCTCCAGCTTCCTTTTGCCTATCCTGGGATAGTGGTGTCACTGGTTGGGTCTTGGGGCCAGCCCCAGGGCCTCCAGCCATGCTCCTCTCAAACTCTTTGGCTCTCCCAGGACACCATCGGGACTGGCCCCGGCCCTGGCCCCTGCCCCTGGAAGGCCTGCGCTGAACCTTCCAGCACCCAGAGGCCTGGTCCCATTTCCTGGGAGGCCTCCTGGCTGTGTCTGGTGAGTTGTGGTATGGCTGCTCAGAGCAGGAGCAAGGGGGTAGGGACTGTTGGAACTTGTAGGTCCCCAGCAGGGCAGTGTGTAGGAGGTAAGACAGAGTGTCCAGGCGGATGGGGACAGTCACAGAGGCCAGTTGCTCAGGGAGTCCCAGGTGAGCTGGGTCTAGCATGCTAAGAAGCGAGGGTGGTAGGGCTGGGGTAGCTGACGCAGGCCGTGTTTCAGTTCCCGCTAACGGCAGAAAAAGGTTGTCCCTAGGGAGATAATAAGGCCGGTCAGTCCATCATCAGCTGGTACTGCTGGGCCGCTGCCGGGGACCCTGCTCCTGAGTTCCTCCACCCGCGTATTCCCTTTCCTTTTAAATTCCAGCACCCAGCACCCCAGTTCCAATTCCCAGCTGCTAAGTGTCTAAGGCTTAACTTTGTAGTTAATTATTTTACTTATTTAAGACAAGGTCTCATGTGGCCAGGTTAGTCTCTTACTCTGTAGCCGAACTTCTGTTCCTTTCCCCTCCATATAGAAAATATCTTTCTCAGCAGTCAGCCACCAAAGTCCTCCAGAGAATTCCTAGTCTGTCTATTTGGTTTTTAGATGGTATTTTCAGTTCAAGGCACTCCTGGCTCTAATATACTCTGCTCCCCCTTCTTCCTGAGGCTCTTCCCCGAAAGGTTTTATCTTACTCACCCACTGCACGAAGCCTCATCTTTTAGCTCTTCCATCTTCTCAACCGCGTCTGAAGTCTTTTCTAGATCTTTCTGGGGCTTAACAGGAAAGGGAGGGGCAAAAGAAGAAACCAGTCAAGGCTCTGGGGCGGGGCTAGCAGGATGCAAGGAGCTGCCATTGGGCAGCCCAGAATATCCCCCCTAGACAGAAGCCAGCTGTAACTCCTTTAGATCCAGGGGACCAGGCCAGTACCCGGCTCTCCAACCCCAACTCTCGTGGTTTGAACATAGCTATGGTTCTAGACCACAGGCAGCCTCCCTCAGACACAGTGGTCCAGGCTCCAGCCCTCTTCCCTCAGATCATCAGCATCCTCACTTAGAACCAGGGGTTGAGACCCCATCTCCTCCCACAGACCCAGGGATCTAGGCCTAGAAGCAAGTATCTCCTCTTTATTTCTGCAGTTGCCTCAGGCTGTTCTTTGTTGTGAGTTTTAGATTGAGGACTCTGGGTCATGGTAAACCTAGGCATCCTGGGGGCGGGGTGGTGGTGGCAGATCTACTACATGTTAACTCTAACTTGCTCTGTTACCTGAAGATTGCCTCGTCTCTTTGCTTCAGTTTCCACATTTTAAAGTGAAGCTAATACAATTGATTCTGGCAAGACTCTTGTGACATCTCTTGATGGTGCAGGTGCAAAGCCGTAAACACTGTCCTCGCTGCTATGTGGGTCTAAGGGTCCTTCAGAGATTCACTGGTCTGGACATTAGTACAGTTTAAACAATGAAGAGGCTGTTTTGTTGAAATTGTACAAGACTAGGCGATTTTACAGCAATCCTTAACAGCCCTTGACATTTGGAGTTCGGTTGTGCTTTATAGTCCTCACGAGCCATCAAGATGACGCTAGCCATCACACTGTCGTTAGAGACTTATTTTTAACCATGTGTGCGCGTGTGCACATGCATGTATGGAAGGAGCTCGTGGGGAGGCCACAGAGGGGTCGGGTTTCCCGAAGCTGGTCAGCTGGGGAAACGGAACTCAGGCCCACTGTAAGGCAGCCAGCATTTTAACCACTATTGGGTCATCTCTCAGTCACCTAGCTGAGACATTGATTATCTGCTCTTCGTCACTGCAGTTTGTTAAGAGGCCATTGCCCTTCTGTTCGTTGATTTAAGGAATATTTATTGAAAGTTGTTGTTGGTGGTGGAGGCAGGAGGTGTAGGAGCTCCAGATCATCCTCAAGTACATAGGGGATTCCATGACAACTCGCATTACACAAGACTCTGCTTCAAGTCAAAACAAAACTGCACCAACCAGAGTCTCTGAAGATATTAAATCAGGGCACTGAGGGTGTTTGGAATAGTTGCTTAGGGAAGGGTATCATAGGAATGTTCCAGAAGACCTGGAGGTTGACTGGTCACAGCAAGAACAGGGTTGATGAAGGAAAGGGCTGGATTTTTTTTTCTTTTTGGGATTTAATTAAATCATTTAAATTTTTTGCGAGGCTTCGTGTGGTGAACAGTGGTCCCACGCTCACTACGTAGCTGAAGATGATCTCGGATTTCTGCTCCTCCTGCCTCCACCTCCCAAGTGTTGGAATTACAGACTTATGCCCCACGTGTCTTTTATGTATTGCTGAGGTGGAACCCAGGGCTTTGTGTGCTCAGAACCATGGTGGACCCACTAGCTACGTCCCCAGCCTAAGATTTTGAACCTTTGATTTCCTTTCTTTTCAGATTTTTTTTGTAATGCTAGAAACAAAACATAAGACATATTTTTAAAACAATTCTTTTATGAGCATGGGTGTTGTGCCTATATATATGTCTGCATCGCATGCATGCACTACTCAGCTGAGACAGTCAGAAGATGGCCTCAGATCCCTCTGGAACTGGAGTTACAGACGGTTATGGGACACCATGTGGGTGCTGGGACCTGAACCCTGGTCCTCTGCAAGAACAGCAAGTGCTCTTAATTGTGGAGTCATTTCTCTAGTTCCAGACAAACCTCACATGCTTCTTCCGCTGTCACCCCAAGCCCTCTCCTTTCCTCTCCTTCCCTCAACTGTCTCTTTTCAGAGTCTCTGCTAACTTCATCTGTCCTCAAAAAGACTTTGAACTCTTGACCCTCTGCCTCCTGCTTCCCACCACAGACATTACAGTAAATTGTTCTTTCTTTTTTCCTCCCTTCTTCTCTCCTCCCTTACCTCCTTCCTTCCTCTCTCCTTTCCTCCCTTTATTTTTAAAGCACTATGGGATGAAATCCAGGGCCTCCGGCATGCCAAGGCAAGCCCTCTACTACTGAGCTGTATCCCTCAGCCTTACTTCCTTGTAAGAATGGGAGGGCTTGGGTTGCTGGAATACACCTGTAATCCTAGCCCTGGTGAGGCAGGCAGAGACAAGTTCCAGGTCTGCATGGGCTTCAGAGGTAATAATAGTCCTAATAATATCCTAATAATAAATAAACACTTTGCATGATTTTAAGCTCATGTGCGACATGATTTGACTTATACTTTGAGAAGAGAACTTGTCTGTGGTTGAAGAGTGGGTTTTGATGTATAGTGAACTCGG